CTAAGCCGTGTTCACTATAAACTTGAGATTGGTTATGCGAATTCTCAATTGCTATTACATTGGATCCAAGGCTTGCCTTTATTGAAGATTTAAATAAACTAAATTCTTGCAATTACTTCAATCGTGTTAATTTTAATCTACCTATCTTTCTTCTAACTTGTACTGTTTTTTCGTGGCTCTTGGAAATAGGAGCTTCTTTAAGTGCAAGCAAGGCATGCCCTGCTATCTAAGTTTCATAATGCTTTAGCTTTAAGTTTTATGCAATCGATAAAATATTATTCTTTTGAATGTTACTAACACACACTGTAAAATTATCTTTCAATTATTTCATATGTCAACATAAAGGGTTTCAAAATTTCCCCTTTCCTCCTGATTATAGCTATTTCAGCAGCCCTTCAAAAAAATAAAAATAAATAAAAAGTAAAATGCAGCAACTTTTGGATGACTAACGATCATTTTGGATGTTGATTTGTTTTCTGATTGTCCGTATTTTATTTGTTATTGCAATACAAAATTGAATCAAGTCATAAACTATGATCAGTCAACTGACTCCGGACTCGTTGTAGAGCCATGGACAAACATTTTTGTATCTTCAACTGTACTAACATATGGTTTTCTATTGATTGTAACAGATAGCTTCATTAGCAATCAGAAGTGGGAATGGACTTCTATTGAAAGGGGGAAAGGAGGCCAGAAGATCAAATACAATTTTGCACAAGGTTTAATCTTGTGAATAATTAGTTGTTTTAGGGTTATCGCAGCCCAGATTTATATCAATGTTTGTTATGGTTATTATGAAGTTCTACCCATTTTTTTATCGTTTTAGGTAATCACTTCTGCCATCCCAAAAAATGTTGGAGAGGGACTCATTGGACTGGTGACTTCTAGAGGAGAGATCCCTGAATTGCTGAAGGTGGCTTGAACTGATAATATCGATTAATGATTCCATGATGCTTTTATCTAATTATTATGGTTGTATGATACATGAATTGAATCTGGCATTAACATTTTGATTGCAGCTGGATGATGTGATTGATCTTGTGATACCAAGAGGCAGCAATAAACTTGTTTCTCAAATCAAGGCTTCCACAAAAATTCCAGTTCTTGGTCATGCTGGTACAAATAGTTTCATTTAAATGACTATTTCTCTATATCATCCTGCACAAAATGTGTAATTGAGATTTGAGCCAATATTGCATTCTGTATGTTGGGAGATTTAGTAAAGCTGTGTTCTTTTCATCCCAGATGGAATATGCCACGTATATGTAGATAAATCTGCCAATATGGATATGGCAAAGCGGATTGCTTTGGATGCAAAAACAGATTATCCAGCAGCCTGCAATGCAATGGCATGTTGTTTATAGATGATTTTTGTCTTTTCGTATATGTTGTGAAAAGATCGTTTCTAACGATGCTTTCTTTACTTGTTAGGAAACACTTCTGGTTCATAAGGAGTTGGTACAGACCGGTGCCCTGAATGACCTTATTATGGAACTTCAAGTCAAAGGTTGGGTTTCTAAAGCAAAATTTATGAATCCATTCACCCAAGCATAACCCTCAACCTTCACACACAATCATTGCACTTTGGGAGTTCATCAAAGGTTTATGTTTGTATGTCTGCTGTCCCTGTTCTGCTTCCTAATGTTTGGTTGATTACTTAAACTCGGTGAATATGCATGTACATCATGTCCCACATTCTGGGATGATTGGCATGTTATTGATGGTTCAACCAGTATGATTTAATTCACTATTTGCTTTCTGTATGGAAACCTCTGGATCTTTAAATTACCTTAAAGATTCTAAATTTTGTCACTTTGCAGGATCAGCATGGTTGAGTAAGGTTTATTTTCTCATTCACATTTTGCATACCCTAATCATTTCCATCTGCTTCAGGTGTTGCAATATTTGGTGGACCTCGGGCGAGCTCTTTACTGGATATTCCAGAGGCACATTCATTGCATCATGAATATGGTTCTCTCGCTTGCACTGTTGAAATTATTGATGATGTATATGCTGCCATTGATCATATACATCAGCATGGAAGGCAAGTTGGCTTCTCGAATTTCTCTGCTGTTGTGTTCACTTGTACTCGTGTGTTTGTTGTCAATTGAAGTTCCTTCTTAATTGCAGTGCACATACTGATTGCATCATTACTGAAGACAATGAAGTTGCAGAAGTCTTTTTAAATGGAGTTGACAGGTTACATTGCAACATTGCGTTTGCTATATGATATATTTTGTTAATTTAACATGGATATCATAACCTCTTCAATGAACTTAACATCGAGTATTGATGTTACCAGTGCTGCTGTTTTCCATAATGCAAGTACGAGATTTTGTGATGGCTTCCGTTTTGGACTAGGTGCAGAGGTATATTATCAAACTTTTTTTTCAGTCGTTGATATCCGAGTGTTATCTATAATATAATTGTGGTTGATGACAGGTTGGGATTAGTACAAGTCGGATTCATGCACGTGGTCCCGTAGGTGTTGAAGGATTGCTAACGACAAGATGGTATGTCTCCAAAATATCTTTCTATTTTTATTTTATTCATTTATTTTTGTCATGGATTTAGTTGATTATCTTTCTGCTGGATTTTTGCTCTTTTTTTCCGAGTCAAATACACGTGTTAAAACAACATAGTGCATGGAGTTAACAAATGCAGTGTAAATCATTGGCAGATGAACCCTTATTTTTATAGATGATCAATGAGAAACTGACTATTGTGTTTCTAAGAGTTTGCTTTAGGGTAAATACTAATTCATTAAAAACACTTCCAAAATATTAATTCATTTTCCTTACATTGTCGAAATAGAAAACTCAAAAGGTCATCATGTTCATGACTTGGGATATTCTGTTCTCAATGCTAAGGTATTTATGGCATTCAAAATTTAAGCTAAAAATTGGCTTTTGATGTATTCAGAATCTTTAATCTGGAGCTTTTAGCTATTACTCGGATTTTTTTGTTTAGCAAACTTATAAGAGTTTCGAGTTTATTTCCCTGACATTTTACTACCATTTGATGTAGGATTGGAAGAGGAAGTGGACAAGTTGTGAATAGTGATAAAGGGGTGGTTTACACTCACAAGGACCTACCTTTGCAGGGTTGAGCCTGCACAACCCAAGTATTATGCATTGGTTTTGTATGACACTAGCATTTGATGAAGCCGTCTGGTCTAATTAATTGTCTGCAAATTAAAAGTCTGGGAATGGATCAATGGATCGGTGGTTTTGGTTTCAATCAGAGATTCAATATCAAATTTCATTCCCACCCAATGTACTATGTAATAGGGCAGTTGGGCATTTCATTGGCATCTCAAATTTTGAGGATTCTGATTAAATCTCTTTGGAGGGAATGACCTTAATAATTTTTCACTTATAAGCCTCTTCTTTATTTTGCTTACGACTGCTAGCTTGATATGCTCGATTGCTTGGCACGAGTGACATTGTTTTAAAGTGGTTTGACATTCAAGATAAATTTACATGTTAAACGTTGACACTGCTTGACATGGCGTCAAGATATCCTATAATTTTTCCAAGCACAACAAAAGTTTTAGTATTTTCTTGAAGTATGTTAACCGTTTATACGAAGTTTCGGTTCTATTATTTTGATGGTCATGAATGAAGACCTCTTCTACTGGGGCATCTTCGTCTTTTGCTTCTTTGGTGACATCTTGTCTATGGACGATGAAGGACCCAACGACAAGTAAAAAGACGGTAGAAATTGAGTCATGTTGTCGATCTGAGATCACAGGTAGATGAGTTTGGTTCCCCGTTGAATTAGTGAGTAGATATTAGCTGTCAAGGCATTTTGATACGTCAGCTCGGCACCTTGGACTAATTTCCAATAGGAGGTCGAAGTCAGAATACAGGACATAACAGAAGTTCTACCTCGACGGTTGCACTAGCCAATCAATCAAGAGGGTGACCAGACAATGTAGAGCACATATTAAAATCTAAGCGTCATCATGATCTTGTTAACTTTACTGTACAATTGAATTTCATCAAATAAGTGAAGGGAGATGCTTGTTGTAAAGTAAATCTTACATCCACCTTTCAAGTCTTATAACCCCCTCACAAGAGGGGGCCACACTATTGTCCTATTATAATAATGGGGCTCTTTTTTGTGAGAGGGCTGTATAAATGTACAGTACTTATCATTTCCCATAAATGAGAAGTATTAGGTCAAAATGACTGTAGTTTGATATGATTAGGATGATTTGTTTTAACGTATTTTCCTATAGAAAGGGACGAAGGATAGATGAAATTGGAGATTTCGTATTCTCTGAACAGTGTAACAGTCCAATATCATAATACTCTCAATTAATTCAAATCCATAAAAATCGATTAGACTATGGCATTGTTTTTTCAAATCAACAAGACCATAAGAAAATGAAATAAGAGTAAAAATTAACATACGTATTAAGGACCTTTATGTCAAAAAGTTCTGATGTATAGAACAATATTATTTGGCTTCTGGAGTGTGTTGTTCAAGGTTTGTTTCGGTCCAAATTCTTTTAATTCACGTTAAATAAAATATAAAGTCAGCTCCAACTTTTTCATGTTTGACTAATTCTGTAATTTGTTGAAACAGAAAATAAATAAATAAATATAAGACAATCTCAAGAGTTGGTTCAAATTAACCTTTGTATTTTTCTAAATTTATTTTTAGTTTCACGTTTTCTTTATAATATAATATAATTTTGGACTTAAACATGTAACCTTTTTCTACATTTTTACTACAACATTTAAAAAAAATAATAATAATAAAAATAAAATAAAATATATCTATTATCAAACAATTTTCTATTCGGACTCGCTCATATCTTGTCACCTTGATAACAAGTAACAATAATGCTGCATGTACAGAAAAGGATGTCCTGATTAAATAAACCAAATAAAATAAAAAGAATTAAAATAATATCAATTATTTTTCAAAAATATTGAAAACAATTTTTATGTATGTCATTTTCTTTGGCTGTATTGTTGAAGAAAGAGTCGCGTCTATGATCATAACAGTTGATTCAGAATCTCAGATCACAATCACATCCAATTTACGCCTCCGATCTTTACTATTGTCAGCAATGAATAAATACTGTAAAAAACGTCACAAAAATTATATTAAACCATAGTTGTTTCTTTCAGTTTTACAGCCATTAAAGGAAAGGGGATTTCTACTTTGTTCTTCATCATAAGCAAGCATAAACGTGGGAATGTTCTGACAATCTAGGAGCATCCAATTCCAACTGTCCCAGATTTTTGGGAAAGCAAAACCCACCTCATAAAGATTCGATCTTCACTAAACACATGCATTTAGAGAGAGAAATAGAAAGATGAAAGAGCTGTTTGGGAGTCCAGGAACAAAGAGTGGGCTCATATTAAGGGTTGGGCAGAGTTTGTTTGCAGCTTCTTCAATTGGAATTATGGCATCTGCGTCTGGGTTTTCTACTACTACTGCCTTTTGGTAATTTCATTCTTGGCCAGTGGCCACTGCCTTTTCTTGAAAGTTTCGTTGTTATTTTCATCCTTTTTTCTGTTCGTGGGTTTGCATGTGGGGATTGGAAAAGATAATTCTGCTTGGGGTATTGTTCTCTGTGAGCATAATTGGGTTATTCCACAAGCAATTTGATCATTTCCATAAAAAAGAATGGACCATATGATATGAATATAGATTTAGAATTTGGACTTTTTAGGGCAGAAAATTGAATTTTCAGCACAAAAAAAACAGAAAATTAAGTTTCAGCACCCAAAAAAAAAAAAAAATAAATAAAAAAAAATTCCAGAAAACTGTGGGGTCATTTGACCCCACATGACCCCATGTGGGTCCGCCACTTATTTTCATCCTTTTTTCTGTTCGTGGGTTTGCATGTGGGGATTGGAAAAGATAATTCTGCTTGGGGTATTGTTCTCTGTGAGCATAATTGGGTTATTCCACAAGCAATTTGATCATTTCCATAAAAAAGAAAAAAAGAGTCAGCTCTGAAAGAAGAAATATGCACAAATTTCTTGTCTTTGGAATAATTATTTCGTTTGTAAGGATGGGTAGAAAGGTTGGATATATGTTAAGTGTAAAATCCCACACCATTTAAATACGAAAATGATAATCAAAATATAGGGTCTTGGCTCGTCCATTTAACAAGGTTGATGCATTAAGATGGAACTTCAAGTCTTAATAATAATGTATCAATAAGTAAAATCATAACTATTCCTTAAATAAGTTGTAATAATTTTCATTTAATGCATCTAGTAAAATACCAGGTTTGCAAACTGCATGCTATTCAGTTATATTTGACATCTTAGATTGCACAATTTTACAAGATATTCTTATACTATTGGTTAATCTTGATGGAAAGAAATCTATACTCATGGATCATTGTAGAACCTATCTACCTTTTTTTTCTCTTTTTTCTTTTTTTAAATAACACAGCAGTGTAAAAAACTTAAAGGTATCAGAAATGCTAATGATCATACAACCATATTTAACATGAACTTTATCTTCTTGCAATACTCTGTAGCCTGCCTCCTGAGTATCCACCTGTTCCTGTGCAGTGCCATCAATATTTTTGTTGAGATTCTCAGCACACTGTTATACAAATCGAACTTCTCTTCTTTTTCTCCTTTTAAGTAACTATATGTCGAGCTAATATATAGATTTGTTCAAAGTTATTTTTCCCTCCTAGTAATAAAATTATACTTTAAATCATAATTGGTGTTCTTGCTTGATTTATAACACTTGGAATGCTGAATCATTTTCGAGTAAAGAAAATCAAGGACATCGCTTTTTGGATCTTTTTTTACAAATTTCCCTTCCCCTTTTTGAATTCCTACTGTGCAGGGATGGTTAATTATTACAGTGCTTCAGCTAATTGGATAAAAATTTTGTTCAGCTACTTAATAGCATCAATGGGGCTTCAGTTTTTATGGAGCTTTGGACTTGCCTGCATAGACGTACATGCTTTGAAGTTCAATAAAGACCTGCATAATCAAATCATCGTGAGCCTGTTTGTTGTTGGCGACTGGGTAACTAATTCCTCTTTTGGCTTCATTTGTTTCATTACTTCCACGAGAGCATGCTTTTATCACTTCAATAATGATAATTAGGATGCCAAATTAGAAACTGGCTGAAGGAAACTGTTGCAATGAGTTCACATAATTGCTCCTTTCCCCTTGTCAACCATCTTAATCAACAATACTCAATGCCCAGAAGTTGACTTTTACTTTTTCTTTCTTTCTTTCTTTCTTTCTTTCTTTCTTTCTTTCACATTTACCTTTCTTCCTCAAGGAAACTTATCTTGACCTACAAAACCTGAACGGTTTTAATTATACTTTAACAAATATATAATTCTAAACTTAATGCATACACGATATGTTTGTTTAATATTTGTCAAATGGCTGCATGATATAAATGTATCATAGTGTAAAATTTTTGAGAAGTCTGACTTCTCCTATTTAATTGACTCTTGTAGTTTTGATTTACTTTTTCTACTTTCCTAGGAAGAGCTAAAGTCATTGGTTTGTGCTGTTGAAAACTCTTTACGTTGGGAGTAAATCAGTGAACTGTAAATGTCTTAGGATATGCAAAGTATAACATAACCACTTGCATTGTGAATAAGAGATAAATTACTTCAGAGCAGTAGAATTAGCACAGGCTCCAGGAAACCTGAAAAGGGACAATTGATTATGGATGGAGCACCTGAAACTCCCTCTGAATTCAGATGAATCTTGCCCATCTCTCTCTCCCTCTCTCTTGCACATGGGCAGGTGCAGACATGCGTGTTCGCTCCCACCATTCCTACCTTTCACGTCTGTCAACACTTTGTACTCCTTAAAGATTAAAACCTCTGTTAGGGACAATAATAATGCCGTTGGTGTGCTTCTCTTCATTTGTCCTCATGAGACGTCATCACCCATCCACACAAATTTAATTTTCCACCCATTCAACTGGCTTAGGCCACCCTTACTGCCAAATCATTCATCTGACATCATCATGATTATTGATGCACAATTGTGGTTGGGACTCAAAATTCTCTCAAATCTTAATCAAATAATGAAGATCAAATGTTTTAAAACTATGCTCGTCATAACCGTTAAATGTCCCTCGACCGAGTACTAAATTGACATTTAAATTTCTTACTTCATGTCTAGCATCTCTGGAGGTACACAACCTGAGAAACAATGCTGAAGTATAGTACCAAAAGCTAAAAATGTTAAGTGCAGAACAAAGCTTGGGACATTTTTCAATCACAATTTTTTCACGTCTCTAATATTGCTTAATGTACTTTATTTATATATTTTTTTTCATTCTAATTGTGACACCCCGAACTTAAAACTTCGAGGGTCACGTACTAAACATAATAGCTTCTGCCTTTGGTACATGTAAATACTCTTAAATAGAAGTATTACATGTGAAAAACTTATTTTCAACTTGGTAAAATAATTTTTATAAAATTTGGTGGCCGATAAAAGTGCATGTCGACAAGGAATTATGCTTCACATATACGGCCTCGGCACTGTCAAGATTAGTTAGGGCAGCAAGTTTGACAATTTTTATAAAATTCATCCCAACTCCGTTTTCTATGAAATTTGTGGCATTAGAAAGATATTTTCAAGTAGTTTTCTAGGTTAAAATATGAAAATTTTCCAAGATCATATGGTATAGACGTTTTACTGAAAACAGTGAAGTATTACACAGGAAATCCAGATTGACCTTTAGACGTTAAAACCTTGATAACTCAGGCCGTAGATATCTAAATTGAGTGATTCCTTCGGCCATATTTAGAGAACTCAAAGAGGAAAACAGACATATTTTTAGAATCTCAAATGGACGATTATAGAGTTAGAAATATCGTTTTGAAAATGACTCCAGAAACTGTCTCGTTTCTGCCTTTTGTCTCTTGTAAGGAAAATAAACTACAAAAATGTCTCTTAACATAACATGAAAGATATAATTACAAAATTTACTATTAACACCATAATACATCATGTCATGTTCATATTTTTACATAATACCATAAGAAAAATAGATGGAAAAAACCGTCGTCGAACAAAACACACAAAAGAAAACTTTCTGTACAAAACTTCGTTGTCCTTAATCCATCATCGCGTAAGCCAACTAACTTCCATCAATTCAAATGATCATGGATCTGAAAATTTAGCATAACATACTATGAGTATAAGAAATACTCAGTAAGATACCATGCTTGGATTTTTATCATGATAATACCACACAAAAGAATACAATCAAACCCATACTTGCATATTCCGGCTTGTCGGTGCCCTTCGGACTTGTCCTAAGGCATAAATAGATATCTAACTTTGTGGACTTGTCCACCATAATTATATTGTGGTTTTTCATGCATAGTTTAAGTATAAATATTACCATGAAAATCATAACTCTTAAGCATGAAAGTATCTTACCGTAAAACTTGAAGATCTTCGATTGAAATGTAAATTGGAAGTGCTAGGTTTACTTCCTTCCCTTTCCTTCCTTATTTTCGGTTTTTGGCTCTCTTTTCAAATGTATAAGTATTTTGTAGAAATGAAAGAAATATCTTCCTCTATGGCATGGGTAGGGATATATTTATACTTGTATAGGAGGATAAGTATAAAAAGATATTTTTATTTTTTATTACTTGGTGTGGCCGACTTTGACCCCCTTTTTTTTTTTTTTTTTTTTTTTTTATACTTGTACACTTGTTTAATCTATGATCCAAATGTATGGTGGTGATGGATAACAAGTGGGGTTGATTATAGGTAATTAGTAGTCTAAAGACCTATATTTGCAAAGGAAATCTCTAATCTTCCAACTAATATAATCCAACCCTCTATCTTTCATTATTAGCAAATGCATCCCAAATCTAAACTTATATCCAACTTACATATCCAAAAATTGTAGATCGTAAATTAATTTAATCATTTGGTCAATTGAAGTCCTAACAAAATAATCGACCACATTCAATTTCAAACTTGACTTAAGTTTCGACTAACTAATAATCACTTCATGTATACGCAACATTTAACACCTCATGCTTGTAGTCATTAGCTATCTCTAACATTAACCACTACGAAAGTGGTGTCCCCTTTTCTTATGGCCAAAAATAGTATTGAAAGTTAAATCGCCATCTTAAAGAAATTTAAATCAGCATATAATTTCGGAGTATTACACTAATTAATTTCTAGGGATCATTTCTATTCAATCTCCTTGAAAAGGAGATGTTTTGGTTATATGAACTGTTGAAACTGGCAATGAACTTTGAATGAGATGTTTATTTGGTTTGAACTGGTCTAGTTACTCTTATCCAGTCTGGTTCAATAGTTGAAGCCATCGAGTCATAATTAATTTGTTTTGTTCAGTTCCAGCTCCACCAATTAGGTTTCAGGAATTTTTTTTAATACAAGTTAGGTGTTGTGGATATCATATCAACCGTTCAAACCTTGACATTTGCTCAAAAAGTTTAAAAACTGTTATCTGGTTGGTTTTCATTTTTTGTATAAAAATAAAGACGGATTGAGTGGCACTGAGTGGCTGGTTTTCCATATCACCGAAACAAAATATAATCTTTTTCTCTTTGGAGCTAGACTGACTGATCGATCCCGGTGTTCTAGAATTTTCTGATCCCTAGTCCCCAATAGAGTAGAGTAGAATGAATACCTGATCAGTGGGAGAGAGACTCTTTTCTTTTGAAAGGGATGGCCATGATGCACCGACACGGATATGTGTGCTCAACACGATACGTGTTGGATACACCGACATGCGATTTATTCAAAAAAGTACTGATATGACACGTCGTCGATACATAAATTAAATTCTTTAAAATTTTTCATTTATATAGTAGACGGATTGAGTGGCACTGAGTGGCTGGTTTTCCATATCACCGAAACAAAATATAATCTTTTTCTCTTTGGAGCTAGACTGACTGATCGATCCCGGTGTTCTAGAATTTTCTGATCCCTAGTCCCCAATAGAGTAGAGTAGAATGAATACCTGATCAGTGGGAGAGACTCTTTTCTTTTGAAAGGGATGGCCATGATGCACCGACACGGATATGTGTGCTCAACACGATGCGTGTTGGATACACCGACATGCGATTTTTTCAAAAAAGTACTGATATGACACGTCGTCGATACATAAATTAAATTCTTTAAAATTTTTCATTTATATAGTATAAGCCCCTGTTTGGTCCCCATTAATTTTGATTATAATGGGAGGAATAGTATTTATTTATTTTATTTATTTTTATTTTTTTTGAAAAATGAATGATTGTAAAAGAATGAAAATTTTACAATCTACATGTAATATTATTTTATTGAAGATTGTGTAGTTTAAAATTGGAGAGAGAAAAAATTAGTTTAATTTGATGGGATGTAATGGGGGCTAAATTTAGTTTTATATTTGTTATTAATTTTTCTTGTTGAAATCATTTAAATATGAGTATATATTTGTTTTTTACTTCTAACTTTAAGTTAAAAATATATAATGTTTTTTATATTTCTAATAAAAAAGAAAAATGATTGTAGTAGAGTGTTTGAGGAGTGTTGGACACAGAAATTTACCCTAATTGAAGTGTTCGTACAACAGAGAGGATGGGGTTGGACACTTGGACATTTAAGTTGAGTTTGAATATTTAATTACATCATTTTTGGTAGCTATTTAAGCTAATTTAAGATAAGTTCATTAACAAATCAAGCCAAGCTTGAGTAACCTGTTGTTCAATTCATTTCGACTCTTTTGCTCCCATGATACCCTTTAATTGGTCGAGCAAATTCCTAAAGGGTACTTAAAGTGGATTACATGTCCCAAAGTTTGATGCCATTCGAATATTTCATACACTTTATTTGGGACAATGGAGTACCAGAGCCACAATCATAATCCAAGTAAATGCACTTGGATATAATGTGTATGTTGATCATACCAAGATTTTGGTTTTTGTGGAAGTTTCATAGGGAAGCAATTTTTTGTTCTTAAAAGAACATTTATTGATGGAAAAGGTGGCTGATAATTCTACACTAATACGAGCGCATGTGTAATTCTACCCTATACTACAACAATGATCAGAATCTAAGATATTTGCAGGAAGAAAAGTTTTACCTAAGAACTTTCTTTAGAAGTTAGCACCGACTGGGAGATGATATTTTCTAACATAAGAACACTGGAGAAGTTCAACCTGATTACTTAAATTATTTGCTGAGGTTAGAAAGAAGAGGAAATTTGTGGTTTAACATGATCACCTATTATATTAAAGCAGATTTTGAAGTAGGGAATGCAGAATGCTATTCACAATGCATAAGATACTGTGTTAATTAAATTCTAAACAAGGTGATGATTATAAGCTTCAAAAAGAAACTTCTGTTTACAATGATACCTTGATATAACATGACCAAGATCTGAAATATCTGGATGCATGAGAAGTTTGGTCTTTAACTTAAATAATCAGCATTGTCCAGATCATCATCATGCCTATGTATTTCAGTTATCCATCTCTAGATTTTGGTCACAAAGATATGCAGCTTAGGAGTGAATATTTCTCTTGGAGATAACTAAGTGACTGAGAGGTGGCATTTTTCTAGTATAAGAACTGTGGAGCATTTCCACTTAGCTTACTGAAATTGGTTATTGAGATTTGCCAAAGAGGGTGTGGTTTAATGTTCTCTATAAAATAGGTACATATTTTGAGGTTGGGACTGTGGAGAGCTATTACGAAGGGGTGGATGAGATTTTGTCAAATGATCGAACTTTGGAATAGGTAATGGAGATTGGCTTCCGAGTGAATATTTTGTTCTGAAGAGAGCACTTGGTGCAGGGAAGTCATCTAATTCTGAATATTCAAATTTCCATCTCATCTTGTGGATAAAAAAAATATTTATTCTTTCATCTCTAAACAGGAAGAAAGAATAAATAAGCCAATTGATTGTGAAGGAGACAATGCAGCAGGTTGTGTCTCTGATAGTGTTGGCTATAAATACAGTTCTTGTTTTTCATGGTCGCCATTTGAGTTTGATATTTTTAAGATATAAATTTTACTGATATAAAAGATATACATGCTCAGTGATCAGAGCACCTTGAAGTTCGAATATTATATGTAATCCCACTAATTGGTAATGGATTCTAGTTTAGAGTATTGAGAGGGATAGGCTGAAAAATTCCTGTGCAAGTGACCTCGTGTGGCAATTACTTACACTAATAATTAATAAACTTCCATTTAGGCATCAGAGGATTTCGTGGTCTTTTTGCGCTTCTATGGAGCAAATAATTTCATTGAATTTTGAAGAAAATCTAGAAAATGTAGTAATTTGAAGGTTCCCCTGAATCACGTTAAAAGCATCTGGATAGTTCTACAATATTTGCACTGTCACCACATATTAGATGGTATTTGCTAGTTCTTCCTTAACTAGAATGAATTTTCTTCCAATAAGACATGGATATGATAAACGGCAGTACAGTTTATGCATATTCTTTGGGACTAGGTTTAATTTCTGTTTATGAGTGTTAAATAAACTGTGCCAGGTGATAACTCTATAATTTTGATGAAAAAAGTGTACACCGACTCAAATTTATTAGCAATATAGTTTCCAATTTTGCTATCAGACTTCATTAGATTCTTGTTTTCAATTTTATATTCTTTATTTTTCCAGAATTTGTGTGCACTCGAAAGAAGGTCATTGTTATATATGATTTGTGCAGTTCAAGTATATGTTTTGGCACACCGGATTAGGCACATATGAGGAATTTAGTATAGGATTATAATGAATATTAATGGTATTATGGTGAGTTAAGGTGGATAGTGTTTTTAAATTTTCATTCAAAAGATAATTATTGAAACAATCAACCGTATAACATAATATGGAGGTTGGAGGTGGGTTTAGGTCGGATAAGAAGATATAGTAGATAATATTCTTTTGAATGAAAATCATTAGATATTATCCACTTTAATCCACTATAATACCTCCACCACCCAAATCACCCAACCCATCACCACCGACCGCCACCTCAAACCACCCCCGCAAGTTCCAAATTCCAAGAATTCAATGCTTCTTCCATCAGATTTCCAAAGAAATATCAGGAAATCATTTGCATCAATTCTTTCAGCGTAAGTTCATCCCATTGTTCAACAACAATTACCTTTCTCACATGAAGGCAAACTGGCGGTTTTATATAAGCATGAAGAGGTCAATATTTTCTCTAATCTTTACAAGTTTATGTTGATTGGGAAATTTTCACATTGGGACGCAAATTCACAAGACTCCTTCAACTTATAGCTTCATTTGGTTTTAAGGAGTACAAGATTGAACATCTTGATGGTAAGCACATTATTATTTATTTAGTTAGAGAAGATTATGTTCGATTATGGTTAAAGCCCTCCCATTATCTTGATTCTCTCCACGTGAGAATATTTAAATGGAGCATCCATTTCCCTCCAGATATTGAAACTTCCATAGCTCCGGTTTGGGTAAATATTCTATTACTCCAATCTCTCTTTTCCAAATTCTGCATTATTCTATTTAGCTAGCTCCATTGGAAGATCTTTGCATATGGATAAATCTACAGTAGAGAGAAACTGGTGCCAAGTGTGGCTCGTTTATGCATTGAAGTGGACCTTGCCGTGGATTTACCAAAACCTGCTTGGGTAGAGCCAGCCCCTTTTGAATGGACGGAATTTTTCACTTTATCGGAAATTCCAAGGATGCCATTAGCCTCAAAGTGCTGAATGGTGGTGTCTCTACCATGAACCACCATGGGAAACTGCTTGCAAGCAACTTGGGATCCCAATGTAGGGAAAGGAAAGGAGCCCGATTTTGGGGGAGTTTCTCCAAAAAATAAATAAAGATTAAAAATAAAAAATAAAAAAAAAATCCTACAAGATATTGCAAGAAGTGAGAAAATCAAAGAAAGATCTTCTCCAGATGTCAGCACTAGGAACAAGATTCAAGATAACATTGCAAGTCATCTTGATGGCATGGGTATTGAGGATTGCATGATGAATGTTGAGGACAATCCACCATTTTGGGACAGTAAGAACATTTAAGGTGTGTCAGTTAATCCACACGAGGATGTATCACGAGCAATGATCTTGATGCAGAGTTTTATCAACGAGACATTTACTACGAGCCACTTGATGATGAAGATAACATGGACATGTTGTATAAGATACCTACAACCTATGGATATATTTCACAAGATAGCCTACGGTTTCACGTACACCAAAATGCACAAGAAGACGTATAAAAGGAAGTATCCACGCTAGAATTAGTTTTAAGCCTTTTTTCTTTATTTTCTCATGTAAGTCTCTCTGTTTGGTTTATGGCATTTTACTTTTCCCTTGCTGGATGTTAGCTTCAGCCCCTCCTAAGATGTTTTCTGCTATTATTCCATTATTAATAAAACACGCCATCATGAGTTTTTTTTTATTTAAAGAAAATCTTCTACTTATTAATATCCATTATAATTTTATACTCAATTCTTAATACGACCTAATCCGGTGTTTCAAGCATGGTCTTAATTCTTTTTTTCGAGATAGAATTATTTTTATTCTTGGCTTGAACTCGACATATTGGATTTTAAGATCTAACTCATGATTGCAGGTGACAGCAACTCTATCACTTGCAGCTTCATGTTCATCAGCTGGTGTGGCGGTACTCTTTACTAAAGACACAGATATCTGCAAGGTAGAGACTAATTTCTCGTGCTATATGTTCCAGATATCCATAGCTTTTGCTTTCGCATCATGGTTTCTTCTTGCTGTATCTTCTTATGTCATGTTTTGGCTTCTGGCCTCGATTTAAATGACCTGTGATTGACACGATCAACACACAAACACAATTTTGAACTCATAATGTACACATTTCTGACTTTGAACCGTTTTATAGAAATAATTAAATTCTTTTCCCGTCTCAACATTGCCCAGCTCACTTCTGTTCTGCAATTTTCGGTTTGAGATGATGAAATTTGATAGATTGAATAGATCCATTTTTCCATGGCACATTTGGAAAGGTGAATTGTACAATATTGAACAATAGTAAACTGAATTTAAAGTTAAAATCTTGTTAATTGTACTGTGGAGTTTTGTAGTATAAGTATCAAACATGAGACTTGTAAGCTTCACATAATTACAATGTGAGTATGATACCAGGATTTATTTTATTTTTCAGTGGATTGTTCTATTACATGACGGGTACGGTCACAAATTCACATGGTTTGGTTCTCCATTCACTCTCCGTGATAATATTGGAAGGTGACATTGTATTATAATTAAATAGAGGAAATCCCCACAATGGACACTGAACTTTGCAGAAAATCCCTAGGAGGTCACCGAACTTCAATACGCCCTTAAATAATCACTGAACTTTACTGAAGCCCCTCAAGAGGTCACTGAACTTCAAAATGTCCATAAATGGTCACTAAATTTTGTCAAAGTTCCCCAGAAAGGTTACTCAATGTTGCAAATTGGGACCCTATACATAACTAGTTTAGTGACATTTCAGAGACTTTTTGCAAAGTTCAGTAACTATTCAGGGACATTTTGAAATTCGTTGACCTCTTGGGGGACTTCGAAAATCAATGATCATTTAGGGACATATTAAAGTTCGATGACCTTTTAGGGGATTTTCTGCAAAGTTCAGTAATCATTGGGGGGATTCCCTCTAGTTTAAATATACCAAAAAACTAGGACATTTTATCTTAATTTTCCCAAGCAAAAGCAACGAGATACTTCAAAGCATCAATTTATGTAAATTGTACATCATGGCAAATTATGAAGTTGTGGAAACAGTTTGATGACAAATTCTTAGTAGGAATTTTTTAAAATTGTATTTTCTTGTATTGAAATTATCAATTTATTTCTTTTCAAGTGATAAATCTTTTTAACAGCATAATAGAACATTAATTTGTAGACACGTAAAAACATACAAGAATGTGGACAACTGTGTTGTCCAAAAAGAGTTGGAATGAGTTTGAATAGACAATTTTGAGACAAATATAGAATTTGAAATAAAGAAGGTTACATCCATTGGTGTGGATTTTTTTTCTTTTTTTTTTGCCCATGACATCGGCCCCACATCATATATCGACTAACAAAAATAAAAAAATCTGAACATCACGTATGGAATACTTCATACAAACAAAGTCCTTGTTTGAGCCACATTATTTGGTGTTAATAGATTTTGAAATAGTGATTTTTTGGAGAATGTGTAGTTAAAAAGTAAGAAAAAATGAAAGAAAATGAAGACCCCACGAGGGCAAAATATGACAAAAGAATTTTTACCAACTCCAATGAGGAAGAATTTGTAAAGGAAGTCAGTAGAATTTTCGATAATAAAACCTCCATGAACACAAATCATTTGATACATGCACAAGGTACAATTGCTCAAAGGAAGAAACACGATATTATATGGAACAGGACAATAAATAAAGTAAGTTCTAATTATGAACTTCAACAAATAATCATCTGATAATATGCACAAAACTGTCCAAGTAGCCATCCTCGAATCAAATATGTACCAAAAACAAAGATATTGATAATTTATTTCTATTTACTCTGTACACAACTGACCATACTTAAGACCTCAATTGACATGGAACCATTAAATGTACTGAAGTCTGAAAGAATGACTTCTACAATTGGAATGAAAGAGAACTGAAAATAGGAAATAAACAAAAATTTCAAACATCACACACTGTAACGGATCTTTACATTACGATCTCTGGCTTCAAGATGCTAGATTTGATCTCCTTATGAGGTAAAATCACGCCTCCATTGCTGTAAATCACGTCCCGAACATGAAGGGCTTCTCCAAGAATGGTCATATTCTCTTCGCAAGCCCATTGCCCAACAGTCGAGTGCCGGCCAATGATGCTGCTTGAAATGCACGAGTGATTCTTGATGCGGACCCCCCCCCCCCCCCCCGCC